GTATGTGGTTATGGCCTGGCAGTCCGAGTTTGAGTCTATCATTGACGCGATTTCATCATCCGTTTCGGATGTTGATGTGGTAGTTACTCGACCGCTTGGTTTGCTGTCATTGTAGTGTTAATCGCCCGTGCCCTCCCCACGTGACTAATTCCTCTGTCCGAGAAAAATCCCGGCAGGGAATATTGGATCAGGGGGTCATTGCACTTTTTGATAGACTAGGCCTGTAAACCATGACTCAAGCAGCTCGCTGCTCACGTGGTTGTCACCTCCTGTGAGAATGTCGGCCACTACCATTACCCTTTTTTGTGACTATCTCTGATGTTGGGTTTGAGAGCGAATGCGAAATGTCAAGCCGATAAGCTGTTTGTTCTAGTGATCACATCTTCTCTTACTTACTTCCTGGAACTCGCCTGCTTGCTTCTATCAGCAGAACAGTAGACTATTTATTTGGTTTTTCCGTCAACTTTTTAACTGATGATCGCCCACACCGTCTGATTGGTTTGTAGGCAGACTTCCCTTCTATGGCCCAATAGGCGAGTGCCACACTCAAAGCACTCCTGTCAAATTTTATGCCTGCGGAGACTAACCGGGTTTCGCTCGCGAATTCAACAGACCTATGAGCACTCATTTTTTTTCAGCCCAGCATACTGAAGCCTGCTTTCTTTTCGCCTGGTCACAAAATTTGTACAAATTCTGTCAAGCTAGATTTTCGCAAAAAAACTGTGAATGGACAAAAAGCATACGCATTTCTTTTGCGTATTGTCAACTCTGAGAATGAACGAAAAAGAATCGCAATAGGTTCCCGTTCCCCCAAAATCGGGGCGTTCGTAATTTCTTTCTTGTGGGCTTAAGTATATTTTCCCAAAGGGTGCGTGCCAGCCTATCCCTTCACACCCTATCCCCCAACTCTCGGCTGCATGCGTTCTGACCATTGTGTTACCTAGACAAAAAATTTCTCGAGTTTCCTTAAACTCGGCTTTACGGACATCTCAAAATCACCGGTAATAATGCCTACCCACAGTCTTGAGTGCGTATTTTAACCAAATATTTAAATTTTGATGTTGCATACACTTTAGTAAACTTGATGAAAGGGCTATTGAACTTTTTATGCGACTTGAATTCACCCCTGAAAAGCTAAGATGCCGAATTCAGCTCACAGCATAAAAACATGTTCCTTTCTAACGATATCGGAAAGTCCGTGTTTTTCGCGTGCCTTCGTTATATGTGGGAAGCAACTCGTAAGTCAGGTCCTTTTGCTAATTTTTCTCCATTCCCCTGTCGTCGCTGCCGAGATATACTTTCGCAAAGAACGAGACCATTTCCTATGGAGCGTCAACTCCTTTGTTGCAGATTCGTTCTCAGTTTAAGCTATTTAAACAGACTACAGGATCGTCTTATTAACCCCTTTCGTTTCCCCAGAAATGACAATGTGAAATTGGAGTAAATTATTTTGAGTAAACCCTTTCAGGTTCAGTTCCAAAGTTGATATGACTGGTTGAAGTGAAATCCAACATTCACATTCTGCCAACAGGCCGTTAGTATCCAGCAAATATTGGTAGAATTACCCTATTACTAGCAGGGTGCTACCTAAAAGTCTGGACGAGTGCTTCGTCGAGTCTGTGCCGTGGCTTGGAAAGTTACGAACGGACGGAAAACTCGGAGTGCGCCTTGAGCTCCGTGTCAGTTGTGTTGTGTGGGGTGACTGGCTGGCTGGCGGACCGAGAGTCAGGCTGCAATGGCTCCTTCTTAATGTGGCCTTTATGACACTCCCACTTAGCTGGGATCCGAGCTACCGCGGTCCTTGCTGTGGTTTTATAGTCGTGCTGACCCCCCAGCGCGTGTGCTCGCGCCCTCTCTCATCTACGGTCTTCTTGACTCTGTTTTGACCCCGGGCCCAGCTGAGCTGGGGGGAGAGTGAGGTAGATTCATCAAAAGTCTGCTTCCACTACAATCCACCGCAAGTCACCTTCCCTGCACCGCCCAGTTGTGAAGCATATCGTGGACACCGTCAAACCCGACAGTCGAACTGTCATGTACATTTTGATATATGACTACTCATTTTATTAGTAGCAAGTCTTCCCCGGAGTTAACCTTATAAGACTCAATCCAAAGCTGGCATGAACTTTCGTTAGCCCCCTCGTCCTGTTTGGCAGCGAACAGAAGCTGAGTAGGCTGAAGTGGTAGACAGTTTCGGTTACCACATATTATCTGGTTCGCCTAACGACGACGAAGGCTAAGTCCGCACTGATTTTCGTGCATGCTCATTCAGGAGCGCCCATAAAACTATTCAAATGATCTTCCCACGTGAGTTTTACACAGGATGGTTTGCGACTGGGCTCTGTATACTGGAGACGAGCCAAGGCGCAAGAGTCAGTCATTTTCAACTTGACTCTCATGACCAATTCAGCCGATTTTGACGAGGTTGACGGTCGGATATCTGAGAGTAGATGTCACCCCGACCCTCTCTTACGTTTATTTTCCCATCGGTTATGCTACGGCTTTTTGCCCTAATCTACATTTTGTATTGATAGCGAACTGTATTACTGTTGAGAACCGCCGTTTTCGGTCTCACTGACAAACTCTTTCACAGGCAGCATTGCCGGCAACGACTGGGGAGATTGAAGTGGCAATTTCTGGCTCATTAGTCGTCATCAGCCAATCATAGCCAACTTCAAATGGTGCCTCAACCGAGGCTCAAATCCACGGCTTAGTCTCGTGCTCTAACGAATGAGTCAACAAAACCCTT